GGAACCTACCCTCCAAATTTCACAAGAAAAACCTTTGTCGATTGGGATAAATCTCAATTTATTGTTTGGAAGTTACTATGCCTGATGAATGAGTTCCTAGCAGTTGATGGGTATAAGCCTTCAGCCACCTCTGAGCATGGAAGAAGGGTTAAATCATCTCTAAATGATCTAAAATTTTGGAACAAGGCTTGTCATGCATTAGAATGAACTTCCAGTAAATCTCACATCGATATGAGGTATTTGGATAAGGCGGGGTGTCAAGTTATCATCTGGGGAATGGTGGATTTGGAGGTGCATCAAGCGGCATCCAAACTTCATGAAATTTGGGTAACATACTTATAACACCTTAAAAGGAGTCCTACCAAGTCTCAACCCACTCCAAAATTATTTAGCAGGGCTTCACACTCACTGATTATGGGGATCCCTTGGCACATGGTTCTTTATGGCAAGGAATTAGATCTCGTCCAAATGCCTTCAAATTTATGCTTGGTATGGTTCTTTTGGCTAGTGGACTTATAATATATGATTGAGGTATCCAAGATTTGAACTCATGTTGAGGTCATTTGATATGATCTGGAAGTGAACAAGTATTAAGGCATATCTGATGAATGACCCTCAAGTCTTCATACTATAGCAAATCCTTGATGCCAAGATTGGGTACTCTTAGAAATGAATTTGGGCCTTATGATGCTCCAAAAGTCAGCAAACAAATCCTTCCCAAATGCACACATGTGCCACATCAAGGCGTGTGGCACATGGTAATTTTGGCTGATCTTAGCCTTCACCTAACTAGAGCTTGGCTGCTGATGCCTTATGACAGCTGCATTTATTATGAGATAGCCTTCTATTCTCCCAAGCCCATCAAGAATCTTAAAAAACATGCATAAATTCTATGACCCAAATGCTACATATATGCCATATAAATGCGTGTGGCACTGGGTAATTTTGGGGGATCTTTAGGGGGGAGAATTGACCCGATCAGGATCAGGATCTGAAACTCGGATTTCAAACCCTGACCCAAAATTTGGATCTGACATCCGGATACGGACCCAAAAGTCAAGTCCAAATTGAAATTCGAATCGGAGCTGGATGCAGGTGGATCGGATCCAGATCAGATTCAACCTGATTTTTTTAAAATAGTAAATTTTTATTTTATATATATACTTTTTATAACTAATATATATAGTAATCCAGATCTGGATCCGATGTATACTATTGAAATCTGAATTTGGATTTGAATATCCAAGATTTGGTTTGGACCTAAATCCGATGTATACTATTCAGATCCGGATCCGCAACTCGTCGGATCCAACCCCAATCCGACCCGTTCTCACCCGTAGTGATCTTAGCCTTCACCAAACTAGAGCTTGGTCATCAATGCCTTATGACAGCTGCATTTATTAAGAGAGAACCTTGTATTCTCCCAAGCCCATCAAGGCGCTCAAATAACAGATAGCAGCCATAAATTTTATGACATACCATTAATAAATCTCGCAACTTTAAATGGAGACTTCATCACTCCTCATATGCCCCCCAAGGTTCATCAAAACCTCAACCATAATTCTACGTGTTGTTAGATAAGAATTATTGCCAGGGTTAAAGGTGACAACGATCATGCTTCTTGGTCAGCAGATGGCTGAAAGATTCAACAAATGGACGTGAGGACACAGTTTTCTTGTTCACACATTAACCTCTCACGCCTGCATCCTTACATCGGCTTGATGGTCCTCCAAGTAGCAAATTATCCGAGCCATTTAGCATCAATTTGTAGTTAAACCAAAGGGGCTCAGAAAATTAACAGGAGTGTCTATGGTGAGAACAAGGGGAAGTTGTATCTCTTTATTCCACCCGCAAAAAAACTCCTGCTAACCAAATTTTCCATATTTGTTAAAAGTTCATTACTTCAAATATCAAACGGGACAAAGATGGTTTTCGATATGAAAGAGAAAGCCATTATATAAGGGGCTACTTCTCTTGGAGTCAAGAGGTTTGCCATTGGTTTGAGCCGATTTGTCCAAAGCGGGACTATTGAGCACCTACTAGTGTTCCTCTTGCCTATAGGGCAGATGTGCCAATGTCATTCAAGCCTATTGTGAAACATGGAATCCAGAGATTAGCACAAACATACTTGATCACAGAGAGGTTGGCATATCTCGCCTAAATATGCATTACGTAGGCAGACTTCCTCTACTTGGGGGTCGCTATGAGTTCACTCCTCCGAATTCTATGATTTATGGCAATGAGCGCATCAGGTGCTCTTTCTTCTCTGGGACTAAACCAGTTGTTTACAAAGTACCAAAAACTTCCGCCAATGGCCCCACAACAGGAAGATCACCTTTCAAATGTGGGTCGCCCACTGTTTTGGAGATATGATAGCCTCCAATGAACTTGGGAATTCGGAATATTATTCTAAAGATGACATCATACCTTTGAGAGGCACCATGCAAGTATGGCCTCAGCAGTTGGACAACACTTTTATGAGCATCTCTCTTTACCAAACCCTTCCCTATAGGAACTTAACAGGACAGGGTTTTCAAAGATGAATTGGGGGCTCAACTAGGTGGAGCTCCAATGCATTCATCAGAAATAATGTATTTCTTGAGCGTCGAGGGGGCCATACTTTCTCGTTCCAAATTTCAAAAGAGTGGGGAGGACTGCCTCCCATTACAACCATTGGTAACAAGACCAACCACCAGTTCTTTAATGAGCCATTAGACAAACTATTGAGTGGCTTCCTGCAAAAGAAGATAACCATTTGATGAGCACAACACTTCCCCCTCATCTCCAAAGGGTCGCATTGCTTATGCTGATCAATTGAGGACAAGGAATTGGACCGAGGGTATGCAATGCTTTCCAATTGATTGGAGAAGCTACTTCTCTATGAGCTGGGTGCCAAAGAGCCCCGTCCGGACCCTCCTCTACAGGACTTAACTGTGCTAGTTGAGCCTAAGTATCAGTGAAGAAGGGTCAGCGCATCTAAAAAGGAGTCCTCATTCCATATTCAAACGGAAGTTGGCCAATCTCAGCACCTAAGACCACTGCCAATAAGCTTGAGCAAGGGGAAATGGTTGCTTCCCCTTCCTGAAAGGAATCTACTTCAAGCACAGCTCCGGCAGTGGCAATGTGACAAAGCAAAAAACATGTCATTTCTTCACTGTCTTCTGGTGTGAATCATGACCAAGGCACAACTGCCCAACCCTCCTCAAAGAAAAAGATCATTGCTAAGAAAAAGAAATCAAAGGCAGTTGTCTTAGATTCTTAATCTGAATATTCATTGGAATGTACAATCTCAAGCCCTCTTCTAACTTATGAAGAAGGGTATTGTAAGGAGACCCGATGGCGGCTACAAAAGAGACTTTGAAAAGACTGTGGAGGTGGAGACCCAACATGATGAGGAAGATGATGATGGCTGCATTGATGTATCAAATTTTCCATGACAAAAGTTTCTTAAGGGCACTTCGCAACTTCGATGAGATGGGTTTCTATGGAAAAAGTATCAGTGAAATGGTTAAATTACCTTCAAAAATCAATGATGGTGTTAATTAATAATTCTACTGACAAGGTACTTTCTTAAAATTCTTTTATTCAGGTACCTCCTCAAGATTTGGTTCGAAAATTCCTAATGTGCCCTTGTTTCAAAATTGCACCGTGAACAAGTGAGGACAACGTGTTGATTTGACCCACTTAAGTTACTTGAGCCAAATACACTAAATAGCTCTGCTTGATCCAAGTTCCAAACCACAAAATGTTTTCTCATTCTGAAATTTTATTTCGAGTTTGGAACCTAAAACAATTGAGAGGTATTTTGGTAATCTGATTTCATATAAGTCACATGAGCCAAAAGACTTATATGCCCCTTCCAGTTTTGGATTCCAAACCAGAACAAGAGTTTTTTAACACAAAAAACAATTCTACTTTTTAACCCACAGAAGCAGGGGTATTTAATCCATTTAACTCAACTAACTTCAATAGGAAAATATCGTCACTCATTCAAGGCCACTCAGGTGTTTTCCAATAAAATTCATGAGAATGTATCTAACTAAAAGATTTTTAAAAGCAACCACTTTATTAGTAAAATTATTTACTTAAACCTCCTCAAGCATTTTTTTGAGAATGGATTTTAAAGACATTTTTCTTTTTCTTTTTTTTTTACACTAGCCCCTTTTTCCTGTGACCATACATGGGATCATCAAGGGTTCTTATTCCAAAATCAAATTTTCCATATGACAAAATATAGCAAGTTCACAACATTTTCATAAAATGTGACTATCCATCTCATGATCGTTTCAGGATTTCAAAGTATTTTCTTTTTCTTCTTTTTTTAATCGTTCACAAGAATAAGACATGCTACCTCTTTAACCGTCGGAATAGAGAGCCGGACATTATGTTTAGCATCTGCCCCCTAACCACCTCTGTCCCACCTCTATTCCCCAAGAACAAGAGATGCTTCAAAAAAATTCAGGTGATACTGGGCCCTCATTTCCAAGCTATTAGTTTCGGCATGAGATCTATGTACACCTTTCAGCATGGGCTCTAGGCAGGGATGACTACGATAGGACGTACCACAACCTGACATCGAGAATTCCATTTCACCGATGTGTTAAATTAACATTTAACAAGAAACTACGATCAAAACTAAGACGAAGAAAGAGCCCCATACATGTCTCAAGTTTCTAACCAGGCAAAGCAATCAAAGGCCCACTAAGTTTGGTGTTACGCACCCACACATAACACAGTGGGTTTGCACCTCACAGAATCATTCGTTTTTTAGTCATTTTACGAAAGACCGTCGATGGTGTTGGTTGTGAATTTAATGACTGGTCGCTTGTGTATAGGGTGGTTTTGGCTGTCTACAAAGAAAATAAGACTAAGACCAAACGAACAACACTAGGTCAACTTCTTTGGTCATTTTGGAACAAACGTCCTAGGGTTCTACCCCCTTTAACCTACATCACCCAAACTGTTCCAATACTGCACTTTATATGTTCAAGAAAGAGCAATTACCAGTGCCTAAATCATCATATAAAAAACCATTCACTCAATATATGAATGTTAAAGAAATTGCAATTCAAGTCACGTAGGACAACATTACATTCCAAAAGGACCAAACACACCCATATACACCAGTGGAAGATAATTACCACCTTCTCCCTATCAGAAGTTAAATGCAAGGTCATGTAGCATCAGCATTGACATTAACATAAATGCATGCGCATACAGGGACATGGGTGTAACCTTGCAGAAACATGAACATGAATTTTAGTGAATAAAAAACCTAAACTCAAGCATCCTCTCCATACATATCCTTGAATGAGTGAGCAATATATCCTCTGCAGGAACCGAATTAGAGTATCTCACTCAACCTGGCAAGTGAACCTGCCACGAATTCAAACTCTAGGCCATTGAGGGCTTACAACCTGCAAGAGACAGTGTTCATTTGGTAGTCAACATTAACATCTGAAGAACTTTTCCAAGTTCTGCATATTCTCAGATAATCATATGAAAAGAGGCAACTGCAAACAAATTAGAAAATAAAGTTAATCTGAAATAATAGAGAATGATTCTACGGCCCAACATGCTTTTATCACATTCCTTGAATAACTTTTTCTGTAAGTTTCTCTTTCATTTTCTTGTAATTTAGTTTAGTTTCTCTTTCATTTTCTTGTAATTTACTGAACTAAACCATTCAGTATTTCAAGAATATTCATTCAATTATAATCTTCTCATACCAACGACAGTAATTTGAAAAGAAATGTTTTTCCCAAATTTGCAAATATGAGAATATTGATCTTGGAAGGCAGTGAATGGAGCTGAACTCAAACTGATGAACTTCCATAAAATAACATTTACATAATGGAGCACTATCTAACGATCATGAAGAAACTATTGTAAGGGGTGACGTATCAGCCTTCTTATCTAAAAAACACAAAACATAATTGAATTAGTGACAATTTACGTTCCTGAGAAGGGTTCACGTTTGAAAAGGATACTAAAACGAGGAATTAAGACCATAAAAAGGGAGAGATGAATCAAATGGATATATGATCAGAATTGAATGCTCTGAGAAAGGAAACAGATCTCAACTTTGAAGGAGTGCCTCAACAAACCATAAATAACAGCGTTATCTAGTCATGGCTGAGTTTTCACCAATGGACAGAACATAGAAAGGTTAAAACAAATATTTGGATGCAATTGCAGGCTCCCAGAGACTAATACAAATATAAATATGGATCTCATCAATTGGCCACCTAATGATTACCATTATGCCAAAT